TTGAAAAATTGGATTTTTCATATGTTTTACTATTGATCGACAAATTTCGGCCAATACTTTTTGGTAGTGAGTGTACATGAGTCAGAACACCATTTCTCAACTCCCATTGAAGAAAAAAGTGGCTCAATAAACACCTGGACCGCATAAAAAAGGAGAGAACAGATAAACCCAGAAATAAAACGGTTATATAATTACAAGGTTGAAGGCAATGCTGCGCCATCTGATATTCTGAGTCTATAAAAATTAGTTATTGCATTTGACCAACAAACGAAAAAGAAGAGAATGCTAGAAGCTATCGAAGAATGGATTGATAGAAATAAAGAAATAGACATAAGTGATAATATTAGTGATAGTAGCGATAGTAAAGAAGATAAATTTGCACCGAGTGACCAAAGAATAGGTTATACTCATCAATGGTCCCATGCAATCACTTTGGTGCTTTTAAATATTATTTATATTTCAAGAGCGCGCATTCAATAATTGAAATAATAAAGTTTATGCTTACGAAAAAATTTATGTTGTTTGACGTTTTTAATCGCAATTGTGTCAAAGTGGCGGAATATAATCGAGCAGTCTTATAGATCTTTCGTTGACAGGTCACTTGATCAGTGGAGGTGTCGGTGGGAAGCTTTTACGTTAAATTTATTGCCCCTACATTTCTTAAAGTTTTCGTTTCTTTCTTGGTTCATCATGTGCTGGTGTTAATGTTCGTTTATTAGTTATGATTTTCCTTTCTTCTTCATAAGTAAATTTTCTTGATCTATATATGCCTGGAGATTATTGATTTTAAAGACGTAAGGGGCTATTTTTTCTCCTTGCTTTTTCTTTAAAATACTTCTAATAGTGCTGTAATTCTTGGGTTCCATGGTGGATTTAATGTAAATTAGTTTCATATTAATATTTTATATTAATATAGGGATAGTCCTATATTAATCCTGTTATGGTTTATATTTACCACTCTCCCACGGATAAAATTGTATCTTGATGATGTAGGAATGCGGCTGTATAGCGTACCCCGTTTGTAGGTGGTATAATTTCGATTGGCTTTCTCCGCGTGGAAAAAATGACAACCCGAATTGTATAAAGATAAGCAATAGCGACAGGCAGAAGAGGGACTTCGTTTTTGAGATATTGCACAATTTGCTGTGCCAAAGTACAGTAGCCTCATTTCCTGCACTGAGTTCGGACACGACTAGGCCCCGGAAATGAAGCTATCTTGTCGCTCGTCGAAAGTTTTCCTTAGCAAAAGGTTTGCCAGAGGTCGAATCGAATGCTTCATTTCACCCTTGACACGAATACATCATCGGAAGCTTGTGAGAATGTAAGGCTTGGGCCGTTCTCTTCACTAAAATTTTAGAGTTTCCCGTATCAGGACCGATGGAGTTTGGTTGAGTACTGGCAAGATTGATGCATCTTCAAGATGAAGCGTTTTCAGACGTTTTGCATGCTATTAATAGAAACGGGCAATTCTAATTTGTAATAATATAACCCGATTTTTCCGTCTTGTGGCACATTTGCATATAAGTGCCAATTACAATCTCACTTTCAACATAAATAGCTTTACAAAACCTCCCTTCATAAGATTATTATTACTCGCACTCCTTTCTTGAAACAGAAACCAATAAATCTTCTTCTATTCCTGCTTCAAGACATTTGTTATTATTACACATTCCAGCAGAAGTCTTGACGATATGAGTCAATATTCGAGGGTATGTCTAAGAATTGTGTGTGTTGGTGGCTTAACATGCGCCATAATGATTGCCTGACTATGTCTCTTGTTAGATTCCTAATTCCGAGGAGAAAGAAGATGTCCAGGTAGTTGCTCTTCAAGTCCCTCCTAGTTCTGAAGAGGCATCTACTTCCCGCTCTACCAGTCCTATGCCTACGCCGCCTACACAACTTGAAACCGAAGAGACTATAGCCTCCACAACTGAAACTACGCCAATGGTCAACCAAGCTATAGAAGAACAACCCGTCTCTCAAAGTACTTATAAGAATACGAATAGCATTATTTCAGGATTTCCAATGTTAAGTAGAATAAGAAGGACAATCGCCAGTGCTCAGGCTGCTGTACCATCCAGTACCGATGGTGTGTTCTCAAACTTGTCAGCAAAACCCGAATCAGAGACTGAAAAAGAGGATGAAAATCCACCGGTAGGTTATGTGAACACAGGATTACACTGACAAACAGTTTGAGTTTCAATATTTCGAATAGTATACCTACATCTCTGTTATTACTTCTTTCATCCCAATTAAACAGCCATATGAAGCGGCAGCTGCAGATGCGGCACCACCTTACTGGGAGACAACTGTTATTACTCCGGGAGTAAATGGAGATGAAGTATTTGTAGAGGGTCTTCCAGTTGGGAACTTCTTTGCGTTTGTGTGGAATATGCTTGGTTGGTACAGCTTTTGGATTAATCATATAGTACTGCCATAACGTATGATCTTATTAACGGTCTATGATTTTTAGTTTCAATGAGCTTCCAGTTTGTTGGGTTTTTACTCACCTATCTTTTGCACACCAGTCACGCTGCCAAGGTATTATTTGTAAAATTCGTTTGCACTTATTGTGAGTTGAGGTATATACTGAATTCATCTTTTTTTACTCAGAATGGCTCCCGAGCTGGCTTGGGTATTACTCTGGTTCAATATGGATTTTACCTTCGAGGAAGGGTCTTACAAGATGATTACGCTCCATATGCATACTCTGACGATGATGATATTTCTGACGATGATGATGTGATCGCACGCAATACATGGCTCAGGTTAGGACTATGGTTTTGCTGTTCATTATAGTAAGAAACTCTATTAAATAATCCTTTACTTTTGCAGTTACGTGCTCATGTTCTTGGGATGGTTTATTGTCATTCGAAGCGTTTCTGACTATATTCGAGTCAGGAGAATGGAGTCTGTTGTTCGCACAACACCTGAGGAAACTGTATGATCATTTCACTTGTTCTAACAGACATTCGGACTGCCGAGTTCGGCATTTATGGAGATTTTTTTTGTATCCCATGTTTTCATTGTATTTTTTCCTTTTACCTTAATGCCCTGTAAGCACCAACTTGTAAGAACCGATTTCATTAATTCTGTAAATCAGAAAATTCATATATTTGATAAAGATGTTGATCAATTCTGTAAAGAATGGAGAGGAGAATAACTTTTGACCATCCCCGTGACAGGTAGAAATTCATATTTGTATGCGTAAAGTAAACCAGTTTACAAAAGTGACAAGAGTACCACAATTATTTCCTTATAAATCTTGTTTAATCGCCTAGCATATACTTGAGCATATTCGCACTGTTTTTGCTTAATGGGTATAAGCAAACATATTGACGATTGTTAGGGTATTGGTATGCGGAAATGCCACGTATTGGAACAATTAATCGACAGTAACGTGGCAGCATCACACATGTTGTTCGCATCTAGCCAATGACTTATCGACAATTTTCTAGTTTATAGTAGGATCAAGAGTTTTCCGCAAGAGCATAATGTATACTCCAACATCGTCTCAGAACACTCAACAGCCTCCCCAGCAGGCCCCCCCACGACCATCTCCAAGACCTGCACAAACAACACAGCCCGGCAATCCTCCAGTTACGGACATCCCAGCACCACGGCCCTATGGAGATTGGCTGCCTAATAATAATGCTCAAGGTCGTCTACCCCCACCTCAACCAGAGGTCGCTAGAATGTTTCCTTCTTTTCCACCTAGACAGCGTCCTGCTTCAACAACCGGCGCCCCAGTATATCGTCCACCACAAGGTTAATATTTCTCAAAACTATTTAAGACCGTCGATTCAGAAAACAGAAAGTATTCATATTAATTGTAATGAGCGGAAGCTGGAATCGATGACTGAAGTCGCCATACTATGTGGGATTGACTTCAACAGGCTAAAGTTTTCTTGCAAGATTTCAAGGGGATTATAAACGCTTATTTAAAGTTCCCCAAACCGCAAGTTTGACTTTGAATTTATCGACTGAATCAAGTTTGTTATTTATGTGCGACAGGAACCCGTCCTCCTCAATTAACCGGTCAACCACCGGAGGGTAATTTCCCACCTGGATATGCAGGAGGGAGGCCGTTGCCACAGCCTTTTGGAGGACCGACAATTACACCATCTTCGCCGCCCAGGCCTCAGTATGTCCCTCCGCAAACAGAGCCCCAAGGTGATATTCATATTAATGACCTTGGGAATCAATTGAGTGGGTTGACTGTCGGGCCAAATCCCGCTGGCCAAGGGGATCAAAGACCAGAAACTCATGAGGTAGGCTTGTTTAATGTTTAATTTATAATTTGGTTGTCATATTCATGTATTTTTTAAACATTTTCAGCAACACACACGGACCCAACATGGTAAAACACGCCGTATTCATTATCCCTCTGCTTACACAACTACTACACCGACGCAAGCATACCCACAACCAACCGGCCCTAGCATTTATCCGAGTATACCACCAAATAATATTGGACAACCAGGCATACCACAGGGTCAACAACCTATGCCTCCGTCATACGGGTCGATGGTCCCGCAAGCTCCATCTACTGGCCCAGGGATGCAATCGGCGCGATCTTACCCTCGTCCTACACATCCGAACCAAGCTCTACAAAAACCTCGAATTGACCCTAATCAAGTCCCCTCGCCTGTAGCCGTTCGAGAACAAGACCGGCAAGATTTCATTAATGAACCATATTTAACTTCATCAAAAAAGACGGTACCACTAGCAAGCACCGACTTCAGGGCAATAGATGAAGGTTCTTACAGTCTCTTAATTATGATTGTTTGGAAATTAGTACATACACTAACTTCTGGTCCTTGACAACGTGTAGGAAACAGCAATCCGCGGTTTATGAGGTTAACGTTGTATTCCATTCCTCAGACAGAAGAATTGCTTAAGACATCCAATTTGCCATTAGGTTTGATCGTTCAGCCGCTGGCCAAGCTGAGATATGACGAGGTAACGAGAAGCAGTTTACCGAGTAGTTTGAAGATATTAGAAAGGTTATCCAGAACTTCGCTGATATATCTTTCTGTTAGACTCCAATCGATGTGATTGATTTCGGTGAAGAGGGTCCTATTAGATGTCGCCGCTGCAAATCATATATTAATCCTTTCGTAATTTTTGTGGAAGGAGGACAGAAATTTGTCTGTAATATGTGTCAATTTTCAAATGAAGGTTGTTTATACAGTAGCGTCGGATAGGTTGTATATTTGCATTCATGTTTTTGCTTACAATTAATTGCTTTGTATTCGCTAAAACAGTACCTCCGGAGTATTTTTGTAATTTGGATTTCAGTGGACGACGAGTCGATGTAAATCAGCGACCAGAACTCCTGCGTGGCACAGTCGAATTTGTCGTGCCCAAGGTCGGTAGAGCGCAAGTGATAGCTATCAGGTAATTCACGTACTAACTTGTTGACGAATTTCAATAGGAATATTGGAATCGACCGCCCTGCCCACTAGCAACTATATTTGCCATAGATGTCTCTGTCAACGCTGTGAAGAGCGGGATGCTTGCTAAATGTGTTGAAGCTATTCGCGAAGTACTTTATGGTACATCAAACAGCGAACGACCTGGCAGTAGGATTGGTATTATGACTTTTGATAAAGATGTTCATTTCTACAATATGAAGGTATGTATAAATGTTTGTAACTATCAATTGTGGAAGTAATTGTGTCTTTATGTGTGCTTGTCGTTCGTCTTTTATCCTGCACAACTATTGTCTGTTATTATACGTGGCATGTTTACATATTGTCTCCAATGATCGTTACGTCTAGTCAAGTCTTGAACAAGCTCAAATGCTAGTCGTTCCGGACGTAAATGATGTGTTTGTACCCTTAAGTGACGGTTTTTTGGTCGATCCTGTTGAATCGAGGTCGAGTAAACTATAAACATTGAGTGATAGTGTTTTCCACCGTTTTCGGTTTATTCTAGATCATAATCTTTCGTTTATAGATCTGTGATAGAGGGATTATTGGAAGCTTTGCCCACAATGTTTGCAGAAACCAACATTGCTGAACCAGTATTGGGTGCGGCAGTAAAAGCAGTTTACGCTGCTCTGGTTTGTATTTTTTTTTGACGAAATCCGTTTGACATTTATATAAGTTACATTCTTGATGTTTGCAATCACTTAGGTCGATACTGGCGGAAAGCTGATAGTATTCCAAACCACCTTACCTAACTTTGGTCCTGGAGCAATTAAGTATCGGGATGATCCGAAATTGTACAATACAGAGAAGGAAAAAACCCTATTTGGACCACAAGATCTTTTTTACAAGAACCTTGCCATTGATTGTGTGGATGCAGGAATATGCATTGATTTATTTCTGTTTCCAAATAGTTATGTCGATGTTGCTACTATAGGTATAAGATATGACATTTTATTTATCCAAATTGCTATGTCGACCGAATTTATTGACAACAGTAATATTCGATTACAACACATGTCAAGGTTTGCTTTCATCAATAACTGGTGGTGAGAGTTATTATTATCCTAATTTCAATTCATCAAGAGATGGCGCCAAGTTTGCATACGAGTTACGACAGAATGTCACCAGAGAATTTGGATACAACGCTCTAATGAGAATTCGTTGTTCTAACGGTAAGCATGCATATTGTTGGTAAACGCATAGAAACAGGAGGTACTCATACTTCGTACAGATACTTGAAGGAGGATGACTTATATAATGATCCAATATCCATAGGGCTTAAGATAGTTGATCATTATGGTAATTTCAACATGCGCAATGCGACCGATGTTGAACTTGCCGGGGTAGATAGCGACAAAGCGTTTGGGGCACTATTCAAATATGATGGCAAGCTTGATGAAAAGACGGATGCATACATTCAGTGTGCCTTACTTTATACAACCGTTACCGGACAACGAAGAGTTCGAACGCACAATATTAGTGTGCCAGTTACAACGTTGCTTGCCAATGTATTCAGATTCGCGAATATGGATACGACAGTGAGCTTTTTGGCTAAACAAGGTTTGATATACTAGTATTTCTTTAGCATACAAAAGAGTCCGACATAACGTAATGTACCTCTATGTATCGCAGCCGTATCAAGTACAGTGACAAAACCATTACGGGAAATTCAGGATCAGCTAACTGACAAATGTGTAAAGATACTCCTGGCTTATCGTAGGCATTGTGCATCTATGAGTTCACCAGGCCAATTGATACTACCAGAAGCGTTTAAACTATTCCCTTTGTATACGCTGACTATACTGAAATGTAAAGCATTACGCGCAGGTAAATTTTTATATGAGAGACACATTTGAGATCGAGCGGTGGTTCTATTGCTCACCACTTTTTGATAATCTGGCTTTTAGGGACTCTCGCGAGTGATGCGAGAGTTCATTCAATGAGAACAATAAAGGGCATGGGAGTGTCGGAATGCGCAGTGTTACTATATCCTCAGATGCTTTCGATACATAACATGCCGGAAGAAGTAAGTTATTTATGTATAGTTCAATATGGGAAGGATCTACGCTGATTGGAAATGTTTGTTTACTAGGCTGGATGTCCAGATGAAAACGGAAAGATAATAAAGTTACCACCACTGATAAGAGTATCGTATGACAGACTTGAAGCAGGAGGCGCATATCTATTGGGTAAGTACCAAGAATATTTATACAACTCGATGTTATAAGTCGATTGAATAACTGGAACTTACTATCATGCCAACAGAGAATGGCCAGTTTTTGTATTTCTGGCTTGGCCAACAATTGTCATCAGAATTTCTTCAGGGTGTATTTGGTGTTGACTCTATCGACCTCGTGGATCCCAGACTCGTAAGTCATGGAGGGGATATATTAAAATCTAGGGGAATATCTGCTAACGTCCCTTTTTATTGTCTAGTCCGCATTACCTGAACTTGATAACACGATCTCTAGACGGGTTAGATTCATAATGTCCTATCTACAAACGCAACGATACAAATATTTACAATTAGTGATTGTACGAAATACATTGGATGCCTCTGAAATAGAATTCAACAATTTGCTTGTTGAAGATGATAACAACGGAGCAATGTCATATGTGGAGTATCTCTGTTATATTCATAGACAAATTCAAAGCGAAGTAAGTATGTCCGACTGACAGTCTCGTGTAGAAGGACTGCAATAATTACTGATGGACGTACAGGAAGATGCATGAATCGCGATTATAGGACACTGGGACCCTTTTGTTCTTTCTTAATCTTTGGTGCGAGTTGTGAAATTTCTCTGTTCTGTACTATACACTAGACAACGTTAAAGTAAATACATTATTTTATTTGTGGCCATTGAATTGCGTGCGTAACTCGACAAAAATAACCAATTACAACGTGGCTCTCCATAATCGAAATATAAATAGACCTACCGGTAATTTAATAGAATGGTGACACAAAAGCATCTCACATGGCTTTTGGGCATAACACGAAAACGATCCCATAGTAATAGTTAATATTAGTGACTTTCGACCCTATGATGCCGCAGAGATCTCCAACAAAAGCACGTCTGCGTAAAGCTGAACGTAGTTTAGATGATCATGTTACTGGGAAGGCCACAAGTCGTTCTGAACAGTCGTACAGTGGTGCTATTTCTCTTACGCCTCCGCAACAAGGAAGTCAGCAGTCACACAAATAGTAATGTACTCTTCAGTTTGTGATAATGTTAGCTGTATATACCGTCGTAAAAATATACTATCTTCTTTGACATAAATCGTCTTCTAACGTAATCGAATTGATCTATTAACCTTTTCTAATTTAGTGGTTCCCTATGGCGCTTGTCACCACAACACTTTGCATTTATTCTTCTGTTCTGTATCCGGCTGGCTGCTGCCTTGTTCTCTAACATCGCCGACTGTGACGAAGTAAGCTGTCAATATATTACCTGCATCTGCTTTAAGATAATACCTGGACAGTTGAATTAAAAAGATTTTCTTTAAACAGGTTTATAATTACTGGGAGCCCTTGCATTATATGGAATATGGCTATGGAATGCAGACGTGGGAATATTCTCCAGAGTTTTCTATTCGCAGTTGGGCGTATATTAAAATTCATTCCTGGACTCTTGCATTCCTATTGTTTTTTTTGAGACATATATTCAACTTCGACAAGGTAATTGATTCTTATATTTTGTTTTTACTTTGAGCGTTGATCCGTAATCAATGTGATAACTAACGATACTGCAGATTCGAATATTTTATACGTTGCGTGTGATTTTCGCCATCGCTGGAACATTCTGTGAATCAATGATGTACAGAACAGTAAAGTATCAGTTTGGTGAACGCGTCGGTCAGTTCTTCTTTTTTGCACTGATGATATCTGCTGGCATGTGGAATGCCTCTACTGGTAATCTTTACACTTCATGCTTGTATTACATATCATCTTAGTTTAACTATACATGGAGGGTTTACTAACGTAACGCACTGGTTTCATAGCCTTCCTTCCTTCTACTTTTACCATGTATACGACAATGTTAGCATTCACATACGCGCTACGCCCAGTACAGAAAATTGTAAACAGGAGGGTGCAATATTCTGTCTTTTGGTTTGGTATTGGTGCACTATTGGCATGGCCATTCAGTGCAGCAATAGGCATTCCTTTTGTAATAGAAGAACTATTCATTAGTGGACACGATTTGAGAACATGGGAACGTGATAATAATGTATGGATATGGAATAGACTTAAACGATTAGTCCTCGCATCCTTATTGGCAAGTGCAGGCATTCTGGTAAGTGACACACTAGATTGGTAGTAAGTTAGGAATTACTGAAGTTTATGCTTAACGCTTTTTGATTACTCTATCTCTAGTCGTTCATCATTGGCGTCGACTTCTATTACTACAACAAGTTTACTGTGGTTCCACTAAATATTGTTATGTACAATGTATTTGGTGGCAAAGATCGCGGTCCTGACATATATGGTGTAGAGCCATGGCATTATTATCTATTTAACGGTTGCTTGAATTTCAACTTTCTTTTCATTTTAGCACTTGGAAGTTTACCCATACTGGTGAGTACGTTCGATTATTGTGTAACGGACATCAAAAACTTAATTGACTCAAGTATTGTGTGCGCATCTTTACAGGCGATAACGTTTTTTCGTGATTTTGGTCGCATAGAAGCTGCCTCGAATACGGCTAATCCCAAATATCCATATGTCATTCTTCTTATCCGATTAGTACCATTCTATCTCTGGCTACTTATATTCACATTACAACCACATAAGGAAGAACGGTTCTTATTTGTTGCGTATCCTCTAGTGTGTCTGAATGCATCAATAGCGTTGTTTCTGATGCGAAGTTGGTTATCATCGGCATTTGTATATTTTCTTCCTAAATACAAAGGGAACAAAGTATGTATGGATTTTCGTCTAAAATTTATATTATTATTTTAGCAATATTCAACTAACCTTATGGGTTTTCTGATTATACTTCATAGAAATATAATAGGATGTGTACAACTGTTGTTACAGTGATCGTTTTTATTATAGCTGGATTAACATCTTTCTCGCGCGTATTGGCACTTTATCATTATTATCACGCACCGTACTCATTGTATGAGCATTTTTATCGCGTAGAAATACCACAACAATTGGATTCACAGACTTTAAGGCCCACTTACACCAATCCCATCAATATGTGTGTTGGGAAAGAATGGTATAGATTTCCCAGTCATTATTTCCTGCCCGAAGGCGTCCGCTTGAGATTTTTGAAATCAGATTTCAGCGGACAATTGCCTCAATATTTCTTAGAAAGTGTCGAGAAAAACAGTGAAGGACAGTTCACGATTAATGACAAACGCGACGGAACATGGAAAACTCGGTCTGGATTCAATGATAGAAATAAAGAAGAGATGGGTAGATACGTAAGTACATGCTGACATTAGCAATTATTTAAAATAACGAATGCATCTTACTATTATTAATATCATTATAATGACATCATATTCTCATAAATAGGTTTATGATAGCCAGTGCGATTATCTCGTTGATCTTGATTTAAATGTCACCAAAACGAGTCCGCTTGAGCCAAGATATGTAACACAGACGGATAAATGGACAATAGTAAGGTGCTATCGCTTTTTGGACAAAGATCGTTCGAGCATGCTTGGTCGAATATTATACGTACCAGCGTCGGTTTGGGGCAATGAGTATATTAAGATGCTGATGGAAATGTTCAACTCCACACCACTACGTTGGGCTGATTACTGTCTTCTCAAGAGGAAGGGTTTATAACTGTATATGATACATGTATGACTATCTATATTATCAGCTACTTTTTACTAGACTGTATAAAGAGTGTTTGTTGTAATACTGTTGTAAATATCAATTATATACAGAGCCTCTTTGAATTATACCTGTATGTAAATAATCGTACCAAATGTGTGTGATGATAACATCGATCCTAGGCGCCCAGTTTCTTAAATAATTTACCTATTGCTTATGTTTCAATTTCTTTATCATCAACTTAAATTTCTCAGGCCTTGCTGATGTTTGTCCAACCCTCCACCAAAGAATTTGGGGAAGCCAATTAACTCCTATGTCTTTTAATTTTTGACTGTCTATGAGATCACTCATAAAATGCTTAAGGGGTATTAAATAACACTTGCTCTTAGCCTAATAAACGATAATATTATCACTGTTACGTTTGTACGTGTACTGTATAATATATGTCGTTCGTTCAATTGGGGTTCTAGTTCTTTAGAATTCCTTCTTCCCACTTGAATATTTGTCTTGAGAGGGAACCATACACACAATGAAAGTGATGATACACATCTCTTAAGGCTGGTTGATGCCTTTTTTTGACGAAAACACAGTTGTATTTTTTTTTCTACCAGAAGTCGAAACAAACTGGGCTGTGTTCAAACATGGGGACCATATAGAAATTACCTTATATTTTAATTTACATAATTGCGAATTTAGAAGACAAAACAAAGCACACGGCTGACGAAAGCTTTGGTTTATACTTTATTGTTAATGCCACCCATTGGGCATATTAGAAAAGAATAACCAGTAATAAAAGGCGAAAGCCTATCGCAAAAGTCAAACTTTGCCGTCGTTCAAAACAACTTTAATCTTTATTGGTTGTATTGCAATAGAATAAGCACAGCACTATTAAACTACTTGAATATTTTGCCATCGCCAACGACCTTGCCATTGAAGTCACCGTCCCATGCCTTTTACAACAATTAGAGATAAGTCAATAAAATAGTTAAACGATTTAGAGAATTAAGTAAAAAATTAGATTCTACCCACAATGAAATCTTCAAAGTTCTTGCGTACAGCGGGGTCCTTGGGATCAACCTTCGCAAACTCGTAACTCTCGAAATCTGCAGCGTCCGTCACTAGTTTGTAAAGTAAACGCGTTGAAGTAATCTATGTTATGTCGGAAAGCATCCGTATTCATGCCCGCTCACCTTCTTCTGGTATTTCTTGACCACGAATCACAAAGTATCCTGCGATCTCGCTATTGTTGTCTATATAGCATTTTCAGTGTCGGGATTCTCTTTAATTAGTTTTAAAGATGACACGTCATGTTTTGCTTACCTTCCCCCAACACCAACATGCTCCCGAAGGCATATTTACGGGCTCGTTCTAAGCGATTATAGAATCCTCCAATCAAATTCGAGCTCATATAAATCTTGGTTAATTCGTCATTGTATTTATATTTAACACGCCAGATTGAATAACCCTCTGGGTCAAAATGCTTCCAGAACCACTCAATTGCGTCAGGCCGAGTGTTATTATTTGAGTAGAAACGCTTCCATTCATCGAGAACAAACGTACTAGGAGGCAATAGATCTAATTTGCTCTTCGGCTTAGGAGGGGGAGGTATATCATCATCTGCGTCATCCTCTGCCTGTTTAGCCTTATCTTTTTTTGGTTGCTGTTCCTTTTTCTGATCTTTCTTCGGTTCTTTCTTAGGGGCTGCGTATTAACGTAGAGTTCTTATTACTCCTGGTTACTGGTAAATGAAATGCCAACAAAAATTATACGTACGTGTCCATACTCGTGCAACATCGACGAGAGAAGCATCGGCTAAGACACTCTTAAACTTTGGTTGGTTGATAAGTGTCACATACCAGCGAGTCACATTTTTATAGTCTTTACGAAATTCAACATCCAAGACCATCTTGAATGCTGAGTAAAGAGCGCTGGAAACTGCAATGTCTGCTAATGATATGCGTTCACCAACCAAGAAAGTCTTCTTTTGTAGAACTTTCTCCAAAGACGTTAATGATTTCTTTAGATTATCAACCGCTTGATTGTGGGCCTTGGGTAAAGTTGCGACAAATCAGTCATTATGTGGTAAGGCATGTCTTTACGGGACAAGGTGTTTTTCAGAAGAGTGATATAAATTATTACAGGTTTGTTGTAGTTAGACTTGCCCAAAATCGGATCAATCCAGGTTTTTACGTAAGGAGCGATCTCAGTATTGGCAAAAAGAAGATACTGGACGATTTGAGCCGTTTCTACTTTGTTTTTCCCGAGTAAAGGGCTGTTTTCCTGCTGACTGGCAACTATACATAGAGAATGGAATTAAAATACAGCACGATAATCGATCTTTTCGTATAATTTTGACTTTTCATTCAGATTGCGTTCTACTCAACAAATAGAGTATTCAGACAGGGATAACTGATTTCGTTTAACGTTTTCATCTTTAACCATTCAAATCAGATGATATGACTATGATTACTCACTATAAAAGGAAATCCCGCCAGATTCATGCAATGCAACACCGCTATCACTCTCAAAGGTTGGAAGCTAATAAAGAATAGCGTCAGCGAATGGAAACGAGTTTTTGGGACTTTCTTACATTGGCGCAGCACTCACTTTATCATGAGGAAACTTGGCCTGGTATTCTGAGCTTTGCGTTGATGCTGATTCAATCTCTATAAGCTTGACATCAATACCAGCGTAGGTAGCCGTGAGCATAACTTCATAAACGCGAGGGTTATCCGCTTGACCGTAAAGTTTCTACAAATTGAGTAACGAAGTTATGGTATGATTTCCAGAGTCACAGAATTCCTACATGAATAGCTTGGTTCATATCTATTTTTCGAAATCTGTTACAGAGCGTTGATTTCACATTACTGCTTCGCTGAGCGTTCGTGAGGTGAACGCTCTCGAATTCGTCAGTAGTGAAGGTGTTTTTACAATTGTTTCACAGGTCTCTGAAATAGTTATTCATGACGAATAGTCTCCTCCACGACACTTTCCAAACTACGAAACCGTTAAAATACGTACACCGAATGTAGCCATTTTCCGGGGACTTTGGGCGAATTGCGAGAAGGGACAAGGATGTGGAATCCATTGATATGATCAAGTTTATTCAAATCTCGCCTGCCAATCAGAAAAAATTTTTCTATTGGCTGACAGTAGTGTCAGGATAACATTTCGACAATTCGCCTCCGATGTTAAGTCGGGGAGGGGGGGGACCTGGGTCGAGGAATGATGAGTCTATATGTACCGTAAACAGCAAGCTCTCTCTTCTTCTAACAGGATTGAAGATCAACCATTAAATAAGTAGCGCGGATCAAGCGACTGACTAAGTTCGGTCGAAACCATAGTGCAACATCGATTGTGTCACAGATGACGAAGACCATAGTGATAAGTTTGGAAGGGGGTCTTTTGCTTTCTAGAAACGGAGCGTGAGAAAACGATCTTATGGCAAACACGCAATTTAATAATAAGAGTTCGATTTACCTTAAACAGGTGAGATTGATTATCACGAACTCGTTCTCGTGACTACAGTTGCATCATATGACTTTCGGTTTGATAATCTTGTGAAACTGGTTTTATCTGTGTGTCAAAGCACAGGAACCTTGTATCTCAACAATTACTTTGATGTACAGTATAATCTCATAGCAGATTCTGATCTAATGTTCGCAATGAAATTTCATATCCTGAAAAGTAGTTTTGGAAAATTCATTCCAACTCACAATCTCCATTCAATGAACTTGGCTTTCTGCAAAACTGCTGTTCGAACATGGATGGTACGAAAAAGACTTCTGAAATGCCGATGTCAACCTTTATCTTAACCAACTATCTCTTTCAGAGTACTGCCGGCATTGAGAAATCACACTGCGCAATCGTATTTCCTGGTGTGCAGCCGAGCGTAGATTTGAACTTTGATTATCAGATTTTATACATAGTTTTATGATAATGCTTACATCCTTTTCTATGAAGGCCAAGGGGCACAATATGTTGGAATGGGGAAAGATTTGTATGCTACTTTCGCATCTGCACGCGAAGTGTTCGATGAAGCAGATGATGCTTTGGGTGGTGGCCTTAAAAAGCTAGCTTTTGAGGGACAACAGGTAAATTCTTATGTTACTAGATGACCATTTTTCTTGTAATGATTTATCTCTTACGTTAATGCATATTACGAAGGAAAAGTTAAAGTTAACTGAGAACGCTCAACCAGCTATCTTGACTACATCAGTGGCTATTCTACGTGTGTTAGAAGTGAGCATCATTTTTAACGTAGAAGTGACACAATATATCATCTACAATTTTCATACTTAACATGTAAGTCATTAATTAAGGAGGAATTTGGCTTCGATATTGGTTCGGCTTGTTCCTATGCACTAGGCCATTCGCTTGGTGAATACTCAGCATTAGTCGCGACGAAATCGCTGTCTTTATATGATGCAGTCAAGCTTGTCGTAAGTTTTGCAAAGGCGAGGAAGAATATTCGGAAACTCTTTTTTATGCTTTATATAATTCTATGATATGGTTAATAATTTGTCGATTTCATTAGAGGTTACGTGGAGAGTCTATTTCGAAGGCAGTTGCGCAACATAAAGTTAGTACAGCCATATCCGCCCTTGTCGTAAGTGGAAACAATCTAGATAAACTTGAGGAATCAATGGAAGAAATACGCGCCAACTTACCTGATGGCGAGTTGGTAGAATTGGCCAATATCAATAGCGTATGTATTCTGTTGGCAGCCAATAATTATGTACTGACGATGAAGATACTGACAGTATCGTTAATTCAGTCTTTTCAGGTATTAACGAATTGTTTATGGCTGAATTATTGTACTTGTAAAATAGTATTGTAACGATACGTACAGGTAGTGATCAGTGGAACGACCCGTGGAGTTGATGATGCATCACGCATTTTGCAATCGAAGCAAATAGCGGCGCGTGCTGTTGACCTTCCTGTATCGTAAGTGAAGGCGATAAGCATAAGAAGATAGCTTACTGAATTGCATGAGTATCATGAATATGTCATTTGTCTTGCAATCCGATGATCGATTGTTTTGATTCAACTTGTAGCCGATTGTTGTTTACTACTATCGATTGATTGACAACACCTAGTTTGCATGCATTTACTGATATTTATAGCATATTACGGCACGTCTAGAGCTCCATTTCACTGTGTCCTTATGCAGCCAGCCGCTGATCTGATGGTGGACGCCCTTACGGAAACCAAATTCAAACAACCAATTGTCCCGATAATATCCAACGTTACGGCTAAACCAGTAAGTTCGTTTACAAACCAGGCGTACCAATACTAGTTTTGACAATCTCTAACCGAAGAGTAATTCTAGATAACTTCCATTGCCGAGATACCTTCGCTATTGGTTCGGCAAATTACTGCGACTGTTCAATGGCAAAAAAGTATTAAATACTGTAAAGAACGTGACATAGACAGTTTTATTGCTTTTGGTCCCGGGAAGGTATTGGCAAATCTTCTCAGGAAAGAATATCCTATGGATCTTGTCCGGTAAGAGTGCTAGTTTAGTAGCTTATCAACAACTTCTTCACTAATGGATGTCCTTCCTTCAAAAGGTCGATGGCAAATGCGGAAGATATTATGTCCCATGCCAGTGAACTAGTGACCAAAAATTCCGATTCCTAGTATTCGGCTGCATG